TTCATTCTAGAAGAGATGCAGGCGAGGAAAGGGGATTCAGTGTGATCCGCCTCATTGCAGAAGTCAGCACAAGCTTTTATGGGGCCCTGAGGACAGCTTCTGATTCCTATTTAGGGTGGGAGGACAGAGCTACAGAAGCCTTTTGGTCTAGGTGACACCCAAGCTGAGAACTGAGTTTTATTTTTCTTACTCAGTGAGCATTTCTGCGCCTGGCTCTACCAGCCACTGTTCTAAATGCCGGACAAAGGCAGACTCATTTAATCTCCCAGTGACCCAGGAGGTGGTTACGGTTGTTATTCCCATTTTATTGTAGCTATGGTAGTCCCCACTTGACGGGTGGGGAAACTGAGGCGCAGCTCATGACTTTGTCGCCTCTGTCATTTGCCAGCTGGGGTAGGGCTGGGAGTGGACAGGTGGGGTGACATCGCAGGGTCTGTGCTGGGCTGCCGCTGGAGTTCCTTTTCAGATTCCGATTTCTTTGATGATCTTGCTGTCCCTCTCCCTTCAGGAATCGGGATGAGCCAGACACGACATGGCAAAATCTAGGCTCCCCTCTGAGCTGCTCCACGAATCTTCAAGGGGTGTCCCTCTTTAAATAGAATCTGACCCAGCTGTTGACCTGAAATGTCTGGGCAGTTGACCCACCCGTGGGTGCCACCAACTTACCAGCAGAGAGAAGTACGCAGGGGTGCTGGGTGCACGTGGCCACACAGACACGATTGTCTTGCTGGAGGAAACCCCTTCTATCGGGTCACCCTGGCAGCAGCTCTGCACCCCCTGACGGAGTGAGAAACAGGAGGGGGGCGTTGCAGGAGGAGGCTGGAAATCCCATGGAATTAGTTCCCAGGGAGGCCTTCATGTCACTTCTGAGGCCCTCACCACAGCCACGCATGCTGCCATTAAGGAAGTCTTTGAGTTGGGTTTAATGGTTGCTCTTTGTTTTTGAAGTGAGTGTTTACCAATCTTCAAAGCCAGCTCCACAGCAGGATGTGATCTGGGGCCTGAATAATTGCATCTGACACCCCAATAGGAAGCAGGTAGCGGGGAGCGAAGCCAGGAGTTAGCCCATGGCCAAGCCCGGGGTCGGAGCGGCTGCTGGCAGGATTGAGGGCGTCTTGCAGCCAGGCCCCTGGAGGCTCCTGGAACCTGGGTCCCTGGGAACCTGGCCTCTTTGATGTTGTGCTGGCCTTAATTAGGGACACCCTAATTAAGTCACTGAGGAGGCAGCCTTTTCTTGAAAAAAAAAAAATTAGCAAAATGTTTTGAGAACATTTCATGAGGGATTACTTCTCAAAGATTATGTAAGTAATCAAAGTTAATGGAAGAAAACTAGAGCCTTCAATTAAGTAAAAAACCAGTCACCCAGAAGCACTCCATCACGAAGTGGGCTCTTCCACATGCTCACAGGAGTGCATGCATTTTAAACAAAGGGTCCATGAGGCCGACTGAAATGTCCTTTCTGCCTAGCAACCCAGTGACCTTGGGATTCCACGTGTGGAGATGTAAGCCATGCTCCTTCCAATGGCTGTTTCATGTTACATTTCTGTGCCTGTAATTAACTCATTTGACACATTTGAGGACCTACTGTGTGTTGGCCTCTTTTTGAAGTGCTGCGGATATAGCAGTGAACAAAATGCATGTTCTCGTGAGTGGGGGTGGTGAAATGAGTCAGTTCTCTTGTGCACTGAGAGGATTCTGTGTAATGGGAGAAGCAGGGCAGTGTGGCTGCCTTCCAGTAGAGTGTCAAGGGAGGGCCTCACAGAAGACGACATTTGAGGGACAACTTAAGTACTGTGGATATTGGGGAAGAATGTTCCAAGCAAGAAATGAGCATGTGCAAAAGCCCTGAGGTAGGGAGCCTATTCCTTACTTGTTTGTATTTTGATTGTGTTTAGTTTTTTGCAGATTATAAGCAACACTGCTGTAAGTATATCCTTGTAGCTAGATACTGGAGGAGTTTATCCTGGAAAAAAGTTATGCACTTTTAAAGGCTTTTGAAGCCCATTCCTGAACGTCTTTCAGAGAGCCTGTCTCAGTTCCCATTGCTGTGTATGAGTGCTCAGCCCAGCATTACTTTGGAAGGAGCTAGAAGTGGACATTGGGGTGAGAAATTGCTGAGGCCCCAACTTCTAAAGGCCCAGAGGATCATGTGACATTTTATGTCTGGCAGAGATTCTCAAATCTTCCTGTATGTGTAGTTTTTGGTGAGCAGAGAACCTCTGGCAACTGTGCTAAAAATGATCCCCCGGGTCCCATTCCCAGAGATGGTGCAGATCTGGGGTGGGGCTCAAGAATCTGCAGCTTTCACAAACACTCGGCTGATTCTCTTTAGGTCTTTCTGGGATTGCACCGTAAGTAGGTGATTCAGGCCACCCAGAGCCATTGAGCACTTCCTTTGCAGAAGGACCCCCTCCTCTTTGGACCCCCACCCAGATATACCTAGAATGAGTTTCAGGTGGACACAGTGAATCCTGTGCTCAGACATAGCCGCTCCTCTCTGCTTCCCTTCCTGTGCTAATTCCATCTTCTGCGGGAACTTCTTCCTTTCTCCCTCCTTTCTGTTCTTTCTTTGCCAGGAACATTCCCACTATCCTTTGAGATCCAGTGAGGTGTCACCCCTCTCTGGGGAGCTTGTATCACTTCTAGTACTTGCTACTAGAGGATGCTGCCCTTCAGGGCCTTGGGATAGATGGCGTCCATGGCTTTTCTACCAGACCGAGTTTCTCAGCCCATCTGCTGTTCTCTCTCTGCATGGCCTCCCGTGTCTGTGCGTGGTCTGTGCATAGAAGGTGCTCATGAAACGTCCCAGTCAGGAAGACTGGCCTTGTGTGCCGACTTACAGTGTCGAGTTCCTGTGTTCATTACTGCTGGTGATGACTTGCTGTGGGGAGAACTGACCATCAGCCTCCCTTACAGATGAAGACAGGGCAGTGGCAGGCGATTAAGCAACTTGCCTGAGGTCACCCAGTGAGTGGATCTGAAGTTGGGTGGACTGACCCTAGAGTTGTGCTTTTAACCACCGGACCGCACTGACCCTTCCAGATTCTCAAAGGGGCCCTTTTATCCAGGCAAGGAGAACGACAGCCAGTGGAGAGACACCTCTTTTGGTGATGTTCGTGGCCTGTGACTCTTCACTGGCCACCAGGGAGTCACTCCTGGCAGCCCAGGGTGAGAGTTGGGTCCTGGAGGAGACGCCATTTCTACTCCAAAGGGGAAGTAGGTTTCGTGGAAGATGGCGGAGCACGGAGTATGTGTTGTGCAAAGGCCAAGGCCTGGCGGAGGCTGTGCCTGCCTGGGAGTCTCCAGTTTAGAAGGGGGGTCAGGGTGAGCTGCTCAGTTAGGGGAGCAAGCTGAAGCCCCAGCCTGATTCTCTCTAGGGCAAGTGTCTTGGCCCGACTGTCCAGGGTGCTGGAGAGATTGGCCACAAGAGGGACACATCCCTAAAGGCAGAAGCGGGTTGGGAGTTAGTGGAGGCAGCTCCTCCCTGAGAGGGAGGGCACATCTCAGGGAGGGGTGACCGCTTGGAGTAAGGGTAGCAACATGGCACTTCTAGGGGGCAGGTCCCCGTGTCTTCTGCTTAGGTTCCTTATCTCATATGGACGTTGGAAGAGAGGAACAAACAAGTGGAGCAATGGCTTTGAGCCTTGGAATGGGGCAAAGGTGAGAGGGGTAGATATTTGTTATTCTGGGGAGGCTTCAGTGCACACAGGCGCTTATCATGAGCCCTCGGGTAAAGCAGCAGCCCTACACTAGAGGGTTACACAGCGAGTTCTAGATTTCCAGATGTGGAGAATCAGCCAGTCTCAGGTGAACGTGTGGAACAATTTCATTTTAAAAATAACCGGGCAAATTTAGCAGCAGATGAGGCTATGGACAGGGGGCGAGAGCAGACCCCCCTCTGGCTTTGGGCCAATTACTTACCCTTTCTGTGCCTATTTCTCGGTGGCAAGAAGGACAGTGTTACACGTGGTTACCTCCAGCTGGCCTCCCAGGGTTGCCGTGAAAGTCCTTTATGCACCAGGTCTGTCCACAGTGAGGGGATGCTCATAAGGTCAGGCTGGACCCCTAAATGGCTCGCAGGGTTTCCTCTCGAAAACTTGGTTGTGCAAATGTAAGGCAGCAGCGTCTTACTGCCTCTGCCCCTCTCTTTTTTGGTGGGAAGGACTCTCTCAAATGATAAGGGAGGTCACATGCTGTGAAAATCCAGGTGGGGAAGGGACCCATGAATTTGGGGAATGGAAGGGAGAGGTAGAGGGGTCCATTTAAAAAAAATGTGGAACATGAAGCAGATACACATTTTGCAAAAGTTGGAAGGTAGACCCAGAAACCTGGGTGCCATTATGGAACACCCCACAGATGCCTGGGTACTTGGACCTGGTGTGGCCAGCAGTGTCCAGTAGAGCTTTCAGTGCAGAAAGCCATTCTAGGTCTCCTGCCCAGTACTCTGGATGCTTGCTGCACATGGCTCTGAGCCCTTGAAGTATGACTGTTGGGACTGAGAAACTGAATATCACTTTTTTTTTTTTTTTTGTGCCTGGGATTGAATTAGAAGTGCGTAACCACTGAGCCATATCCCCAGACCATTTTTTTTTAAATATTTATTTTTTAGTTATCGGCGGACACAACATCTTTGTTTGTATGTGGTGCTGAGGATCGAACCTGGGCCACATGCATGCCAGGCGAGCGCGCTACCGCTTGAGCCACATCCCCAGCCCCCCCAGACCATTTTTTATTTTTCATTTTGAGACAGGGTTTCACTAAGTTGCTTAAGGTCTTGCTAAGTTGCTGAGGCTGGCTTTGAACTTGGGATCCTCCTGCCTCAGCCTCCTGAGCCACTGGGATTATAGGGGATATCACATTTTATTTCATTCCAGGGAATATCACATTTTTAAAATTGAAATTTAAATAACCCCATGTGGCTGGTGGATGGTTCAGGATAGACTGAAGAATGCTTACTTTTAAGTAGAGAACTTTAAAAAAAAATGAAATAGCCTTGAAGATCGGGTTGCCATAATTGTTTAGTTGTTAAAATTTTAAGGGAGACACGCCCATATGTCAGAATACAGCCTGGGCGTCAGACCTCGTGGGTGGGTGAAGGAAGCACTGGATGCCCTTGACTGAAAGCGTCTTGTTGTTACAAATGGAGCCTTGTGCGAGGGCTGGTCGGAGCACCTTTTGTGATTAGGTCTTCCTTTTCATTGGCGTGTTTATTGCTGGTGTGCTTGGGCAAGTGGGTGAGGGCGGGTGGGCAAGGAGGCAACCATTGATTATCCCCCAGGCTGTCATCGCCGAGATGGACAGGGATAATTAGTGGATTAGGCAAGCCCCAATCAGAGAATAAAAGCCCAGGGCTGGTGTTGATGGTGGCTGGGCTCACCCGGGCCTTTCATCTGGGGATCTTAGGAGCCCTTCATCTTGCAGGCTGGGGTGGGGAAGTGTGGTTTTGGGGACACAGCTGTGACAGGCATTCCCAGACCCTGCCCCTCATTCTGCACATCCACTTCTGGAAGCTGAGCAGACTCCTGCCTTCTGCGTGAAGCAGGGAGGTGTCCTGGATGCTGGGCGTGGGCAGGAAGGGTCCTGGCTCCTCTGGGGTGTCTTTGCTTTCCATATCCCTGGAGTCTGAACTCTCCGAGGGGTTCTGTCGGCTGCCCTCCTCATGCTCACCCTGCTGAGGTTCCTGCAGACCTGGGGAGGGGCGTGGTGGCAGGGGCGGTGCTCCATCCAGAGAGGTTATGGAGAAGCTGATTTCCAGTATCCACAGAAAACCTGAAGAAGAGACAAAAAATGTCCATAATTATACCATACGATGGAAACTGTGTGTCCTGGTGTGTTTCTATCAGCCTTTTCTACACAGGGAATTTTTCTTTGTTCTGTGTTTTCTTTTTCTGTGGTTGAGGATCCTGTGCCTTTCTGAGGTGACAAACAGCTGTCCCTGGGCCTCTGGGTCAGAATCAGGTGTCGCATGATCCAGGAATCTTGCTGCCTGCTCTACTGTGGGCTCTTGTAGGACCCAGGGATCTAAAGTAGGGCCCATTGACTGTGTGAGCCACTTTCTGCAGCCCCAGGGCTGGGCTGGGCTGGGCCTTGAGTCAGGCTGGGTCTTGAGTCAGGCTGGGTCTTGTGGTTGCTTAGACTCCCCAGAATCAGGGAACGCTTAGGTTTGCAAAGTCAGACAGATCTGGCGTCACGTGGCAGCCTGGATCCCTTCACTGCAGTCTCTCTGGGTCTTAGTCTCCTCAGCTGTAAAATAATAGCACCTGCCTCGCAGGGTTGTGAGTGTGGACTGAGGCTGTGCCCCTCAGAGTGTGGCTGGGCCCAGCAGCAGAGGTGCTCAGGTCACATGCCTGCAACACCCCAGCTGTGGCCGTGTCAGTTAAAGTTAGAGAAGTGCAGGTGGATGTCCTTGGTGCCCAGCAGCTGTTCAGAAAACGCTCGTGCTTAATGATGATGCTTGTCAAAGTGAACAGGGAGCCGTCCAGTCCTGGGTGCCTTGGATTCTCCTCAGCTGTGACCATGGCCATCCAGCCTCTGTCTGGCATCTTCTGACCAGGACAAAGGCCTTTGAGCTGGAACCCACGAGCCTGTGCCCTGCTAGCCCCTGTTTTATTCTCCATTAAATCGAATCCCTCCTTGTGGGGGTCCTGCTGGGCGCCCAGACCGCAGTCCCCAGCCCCGGTTCCCTGTGTGGCCGTGTGGTGTTGAATTCCCTCAGCTGTCCCTCGAGGTTCTGCTGTCGCAGCAGGGCCAGGCTGGGCCAGGCGGCTGCTGCATTATTGATGGAGCCCGTTAACCAGCCGTGCTGATGAGTTACCCGCAGTCCCTTCTCCCTCGCCGTGTGTGGGATGCCATCGGGGCCTCTGTTTAATACAAAGCAAAGCCAAACAGAACCCCGAGCCAGAACGGCTGCTGGCTGGCTCCCGCGCCCTGCGTCAGGCACACGCCTGGGCCTCCTGGCTCTGGGGCCCGTGGAAGATGAGGAGGGATAGGAGGAGGGGGCCCTGGGATTTCCCAGTGTCCACCTTGAGGGCGGGGAGGGAAGGCCACCCGGGGGTGGGTGAAGGTGGCAGCCTAGCCCTTGAGGAGTGGAGGGAGATTAGGCAGCCTCGTCCTCAAGAGTAAAACCTGAATTCATTATTTTCCTCATTCCCAAAGGGATGAGGCCACTGCCATTTATGTGACTACAAGCTAGCTTCTCCTGTCACCTGACAGGCCTGGAGTTGACGTTACCAGCTGAAGGAAGGCCACCCTGATCTTTCTCTGCTGTCCCATTTGTGGCTGAGCTTTGGACTTTGCCCTTGAGGGATGCCCTTGTGGCCTTGTCCTCTTTCCTCCAGTGGACATGCACACCCAGTCCCCGGGGAGAGCCGGCCGTGTCTCCTGCTCACCTGTCATGGTGCCAGCCGAGCCTCTTCCTGGAAGCACTTTTCTCCTCCCTCCACCTCTCTGACCTTGTTCTGTGGTTTGGAAGGGAAGACCTTGGGCTCAGGGGAGGGGAATCAGTGGTGTAATAAGTGGAGGGAGGAAGAGTGGGCGGAAAGAAGTGTGCCAGGGAATGTTCTGGAAGAGGTGACCTTTGAATGAGGCAGTGACCGCTGAGGAGACTTCTCAAGATTGTTTGGATATCCTGGAGATTGGAAGAGAAGAGGGCCACAGGGTGCTGTTGGGGGAGCCTGGTGGGCACTTGCTGGGTGGCTGTAGCAGTGTGAATCAGGTCATGTGGCCGGGGAAGCCCCTCTCACCTGGACTGTGCGGCTTGACCAAGACAGGCTAGTTTGTGTGCTCTGAGCAGCCTGCTGTCCCTCCTGTTCCTTTGAGAAGGCCCCTTCCCTTTCCCTGGGAACCTGGGGACAGTGAGTTCTGTGTCTAAAACCCACCTAGGGCTCCCGGGTCTCTCAAGAGCCCAGACCTTGCCTGGCTCCTGGGAAGAGAGACTTCCTCCCTTTGCCTCTGACTTTGGGCAGAAGCAGAACCTGGGTGCTCAGCTGGACCTTTCTAGTCTCTGATTTTGGTGTGTCTGGAAAGTAATGAACACTTTATGTCCCTTTTGGTGAGCACCCCTGGGTGGGTCAGTGTTGAGATGTAGTCTCCATGACTCGGGATGCGTTCCTAGGGATTTCTTCCACTCTGGACAGCACTCCTCAGAAATGCTGTGGGGCTCTCTTGCGATGGCTTCCGGTGACTTCTTGGTCAGCAGGTGCAGATTGGAAAATTATGGACTGTATTGGAGTCACTTTCTGAAAGGATTCTTGGTGCATCCAGGGTCCTGGTTTGCAGGTTCCTTTTGAAACTTGAGCGTGGCCTTCTTTACCAGTCTCCTAGTAAAAGACCCAGAGTTTTCTCTCTGTTGCCTTTTATCTTTCAAAAATCGCCCTTTTCCTCCTTTCCCACATCCTGTAAGCTTTTGAATTTTTATAGTAAAACTACTTTCAGGTGGGAAGAAACTTTTTTATATCCTTGAAAGAAACTTATAAAAAAATCTGGAACAACCCAAGCTCACCTTCCTTTTAAGTTTTAATAACATTTACGCACTTTTTTTCCTCTCTCGTCTCTCAACAAGGGGGTTTTTGTCTTCTGTTCTTAGAAGTTGATTTTTTTTTAAAGAATCCATTAAATTATATAGTGCCTAAAACAGGTGGGCCTGACACTCTGATCGATTGTCAAGCATCGCAAGTCAGGAGAGAGCTGCCTTGGCAGCCTTCTTGGGGTTGAGTGGGTGTTCGTAGGTGGGGAGCCGTGTACCGTACCCCTTGAGGAGAAAGGGGACCCTCCTGTTGTTGCTAATTTGGTGAAGACTGAAGTGAGGCTCCAAGTGAGGGTAGATACGTAGAGATTTAAGTGGTTCGAGCTGTTGTGAATTCCAGGCACGTTCATGGCGGGGTTGAGTACGCCACCGTGCCATTTGCTTACGAGTGGCAGACAGATTGTCTGACACTGTGCTCCCGGCTGCCTCGGTCAGTTCCTGCCTTCACTGTGGTTCATGGTGAGATGCAGATGGCATCCACCTGGGCAGGATCTGCACCCAGGACCATGAACGTGGGACCCCAGCCTGGAGTGAGTGAGGGCCTGACTTGCAGGGCTTTCTCCCTTCAGACACCGTCCCCATGCCTGCCCCCCGCCCCCCCCCCCCGTGCCTTTCTGTGGAGCCCTTTATATGTATGACCTCATTTGTTTATTTATTGATTCAGCTTTGTTGTATAAAATTCCATGTCACACAAGCCACCCATTTAAAGTGTACAATCCACTGGTTCTTAGTACGTTCACAGAGTCATACAACCATCCCCACAGTCCACTCTAGGGCAGGATGGAAACTCTGTGGCCATGGCCATGGTCCCCAATTCCTGCCCCCCACCACTCCAGCACGTCCCGGCCCCTGGCTTCTGTGTCTCTATATTTACCTATTCTGGACATTTTGTCTCCCACCTAATTCTAATTATATATCATTTGGTCACCATCTCCCCATCCCTGCCCCCCCTCGATAACCACCTGCACCTCTGAAAACCTCTTTTTGCGAGGTCAGCTTTTGAGGCTCCACATGTGACTGAGGTCATGCGATACTGGTCTTCCTGTGCCTGAATTTTTTTTTTTAACATAACGTTCTCCAGGTTCACCATGTTGCTCTTTCTGTAGCCGAGCAGTAGTGCTCTGTGTAGATGCACCCCATTTTCTGTATCTGTTCATCAACTCAGGGACACAGTCGATCCCATGTCCCAGCTATGGTGAATGGTGCCGCAGTAAACGTGGGATTGTAGACGTCTCTTTGACACCTGTGTGGCTTCGTCTGTTCCTCACGCCAGCCCCGTGAAGGGATGATATCCCCACAAGCAGACTGAAAGGCCTGCCCAGCGATGCTCCCCGGGATTCGGTGCGGGAGATCAGACTCCCACATTTCTCTTCCTTGTTCCTTTCCCGTGTTTTCAGTGCTTACTAATTGTCACTGTTGGTGAGGGGATGAAATTGTCCTAATGATTATCATTACAAGGAAAGGGGATCTGAGATGCCAAATGATTTCCCCAGTCAATTATAGTCAGGGCAGTGGGTAGAAATCAGGATGCGGTGCTCCCTGTCCAGGCCTTGGGCCAGCCTGGCGTGTTCTCGGTGAGTGTGCCCTTAATCAGTACTGGTCATCTCAGCAGCCTCCTCTGGGGGTCCCTGGAGGGGTGGTTGGGCCAGGAGGGCCTGTTCCTCATGTCCTTCTGCCTTGTAAAGATGACGGTGCCTTTGGCTGGAAGTAGGGCGGGGTTTCTGAACATGCTCAGGCTTTTCAGAGAGCTTCCTGTCAGGTCTGTGGATCAGAAACAGAGGGAACGGCTAGCTAGGCCGTGGGGGACCTTGATGCTCTTGGGGATGCCGCCGCTGTCCCTCCAGCCAGAGCTCTCGAGGACTCCGATCTCAGCTTAACTCTTCAGTTACTTGGATGTAGAAGTGGAAGGCGTGTTCATCTGTGGGCTTGATAAGAAGATGATAAGTGCATTAGCGCCAGGATTGGGACCCTCCTGCCTCTTGGTGGGCCTGGGACGGTGGCCTGAGCGCTCTCAAGGTTTTATTGAGCATACGTTTATGCACAGTGCTGCTCTCAGGTTGCAGAAACCTGCAGGGCACAGACAGGGGACGGAGGCCATGTGGTAACAGCACCTGTGGCAGGTGCTGGTTGACAGTCACTCAGGTGCAGCTGCCAGAGGGCCTCCTCCAGGAGCCGGTCGGACAGGATTCAGCCCCAACGTGCACACCCTCGCTCAGTGTCTCGTGGGAATAACCTGAGACCTGCGCTTGGGCCAGGCAGGTCTCATGTGCACAAATACAGACCCGGTGGATGCAGCCTAGCCCCGTGTATGAAGCAGCTTCAGGGTTTGGGTGCATTGTGAATTCACCCAGGTTCACTGCTCTGGTTGGCAGCACCTTTAACTTGATGTTACATTTTTTTAGAACAACTTTATTGTTTTCATTAAAATAAAAACAAAAAGAAAACAGATGACCTGAACGTAGAAGAAAGTACAAGAAGAAAGCCATACAGTGGTCCAGATTTTAGCTCCTGGAAATGACCCATTTTAATGTTTGATGAGACAGTTTATTAGATATCTCTGTGACCATTTCAGACAGAATTGATAGCTAGAGAAATACGTAAATAGATAGGTCATTTTACAATAAGGTGTTACTTCAGTGCATATTAATTTCCAAATAAAATAATATCTAATTCTACTTTCATTTGACAAAAGAAAATGAAGCTAAGTTTGTACTAGTCAGCGTTCTCTGGCGGAACAGAGCCAATAGGATGGGAGCATAATTATACGAGGGGCATTATTAGATTGACACACAGGATCAGAAGCTGGATAGTCCCACAATGACCATCCAGGGCTGGGGAGCTGGAGGAAGCAGTAGTTGCTCATCTAAGAAGCTGGAGCCTCAGAATAAGAAAGACCAGCCCGAGGCTGAAGGCCTAGAAGCCCCCTGGAGAGTCACTGGTGAGAGTCCAGTTTCCAAAGCTGAAGCAGCTAGAGTCTGATGTCCACAAGCCATGGCACCAGCAAAAAACCGCACCTGCACAAGAGTAATTGACCTTGCACACCCTGGTGGGCTTCTGGCCTCTTCTGTTCCATGTTCAGTCCCGGTCTCCAGGCTGTTGGATGGTGTGGTCCACATTTAGGACAGGCCTCCACCCTCAGTTTGCTGACCTCCTGCCAGTCTTCTCTGGAAACTCACTTGTAGACACACTCAGGGTGTTCTTTACTAATTTCTTAGGTGTCTCTCAATCCCATCAAGTTGACAGTCAAGATTAATCATCACAGAAGAAGTACTAAAAAAGAAAGAAAAGTTTAAAAAGTCGGAACTCCTGATGACTTCTTTCACCACAAGGAATTAGGTTTTCTGATGTCCCTGTGAGACAGTTGTTCTTGATGGTGGTGACTTTGGTCGGTCGCAGTTGTAGACAACTTTGATCGGGTTTCTGTGCTGGGAGAGGTGGTGAGGGGCTTCATCGTAGCTTTTTCCTTCTCCCCTTAAAACCCAAACCAAGGGGCGGCATGTTATTTGAACCTTATTGAGCTTCTTAAAATGTATCTTCTCTTCTGCAACCGTAACCCCCCGAGCATTTGGTCTTAGTTCTTAAATGACTTGGTGCCACACACCACACCTTTAACCACAGTTTCCCCTTTTCTGGTTGTTTTTTGAGTCGCCTCTTGGGGAATTGCTTTTATCTCAATAGACATTTAGTGTATATGGGCAGGAGGTGTCGGACTGGGCTGTGGTTTGCCCTGGTCAGAGCTACACCTGCAGATTTGAGTTTGTGTCTGTGTACTGTACTCAGAAGACCGAGGGAGACCCGATGGATTGTCTGTGGGATAGTGGGGGCGGGGTGTTCAGCAGGGTCCTCTTCTGCAGGGGGATTGGATTTGTGTTTCGACTGTGAAAAGATGTCAGTGTGGAAGCAGGGTTATCGATCTTCACTCCAAGGACTCCCAGAGGGTTAAAACTAGGGCTGC